AATTTACCAACCAGTAACCATCAATTTTGGATATCATATTTGGTGTTACCTCGGAAGATTTTTTCTGAGCTGTAATAATTTGAATAATTTTAGAAGTTTTTTTTTTTGTTTTGCAATTTTAATTATCCTTTCAAAACTTTTATCTCTAACTAACGACAATAAGTGCATTGATTGATAGATCTAAGCGTTTACATTTTTTATGAAGTGTTTTGTGAAGTGCCTCTAAGTACATATTTGTATTAATACCGAAGTGTTTTCTACATAATTATGTTTTTAGGGAAATTATCATTGGGTGTACCAGTTAATAAAATCTTAGAAGACATCAGATCATCAAATGTTGAAAGTGATAGTATAAAACGAATTCACTTAATTGAAAAAAAGGACATACATAATATCAAAAGAGATTATAATATATCATATGCTACCAAAAGACATGAAAACGATTTAATAAGTGTTAATCTTTGGGTAAAAGAGATGATAGCGAAAGGTGATGAAAGTCCAATAATATATTTTAAACAACAGGGAAACAGTGACAATAATGTTCAAAGTTTTACAAAAGATGATTTTTGTCTAATCATAATGACACAGTTTCAGTCAGAGTTACTAATGAAATTTGGAAATGATAAAGTATGTATAGACGGAACTCATGGGTTAAATGAGTATAATTTTCAGTTGTATACTATAGTTGTGGTGGATGAGTTTGGAAACGGATATCCCGTTGCATTTTGTTTTTCTAATAAATCTGACACCGCTTTATATAAACATTACTTTCAGTGCATTAAAAATGTAACCGGTAAAATTACAGCAAATGTGTTTATGTCCGATGATGAACCAGCGTTCTATAACGCCTGGAACGCTGTAATGGGGCCTGCAGAAAAACAGCTTTTATGTACTTGGCATGTATTAAGAAATTGGACAAAAAATTTAAGCAAAATACAATGCAATGAAAAGAAAACCATTGTATTCAAAACCTTAAAAGCACTGTTGTATGAAACTAATGAACATTATTTTTATATTGAACTCCAAAAAGTATTAGATGACTTATTTAATGATACAGAGACTGAAGATTTTGGGAAGTACTTTAAAATGATGTATTCATGTAGAGTAGAAAAGTGGGCATATTTCAATAGAAAACACATTGGTATAAATACAAATATGTACTTAGAGGCACTTCACAAAACCATAAAATATAGTTATTTAGATGGGAAAAAATGTAAACGCTTAGATCTGTCAATCAATGCACTTATGTCATTAGTTAGGGACAAAAGTTTTGAAAGGATAATTAAAATTGCAAAACAAAAAAAAACTTCTAAAATTAATCAAATTATTGCAGCTCATAACAAATCTTCTGAGGTAACATCAAATATGATATCAGAAGTTGATGATTACTGGTTGGTTAATTCTACAACTAACTACAATGTCCATTATAAAGTTGAGAAAACAAATTTTTCATGTAGTGAATGTGTTTTGAGTTGTGTTGAATGTCAGATATGTGTTCATACCTATAAGTGCTCATGCATGAATAATGTAATTTACTTTAATATTTGCAAGCATATTCATGCATGTGCAAAACAAAAAAAAAATATTTTATTACCATGTAAACCTGCAGTAACTTCAACATCTTTAACATATGAATTAGCTGTTGATAATGGTTTCCTACAACCAAACGAAACTCAGCCAAAGTTAGATGAAAATACAGWTAATACAGGAGAAATCACAAATAAGTTAGAGTCAATACTGGGAATGGTGAATCGTACCAAGTTAAATGACATAGATCAAAAATAT